CAATCCTTATTGAAGATATTACATATTTGCTGTGCTTGGTACATTTTGTCTGTGATCTGTAGATATGCAATACTATCATTTTATTATGGGTTTAAGTTCTCTTCATTCCTTTGCAATTTCAATCTTGTCTTTGCAGGAAATTGTAATTATGCACTGGGCATGTATAAAGATAACAACATCCTCTGCAATCCCTGATGATTATCTTCTGCAAATCCTACTTGATAAGGTTTGTTTTTTCTCTGTGGTCTCATAAAAGAGGATTGAATTCTTAATCTCCTTGGTTTGCTCTTGGCATAGGTATGATTCACCAGTGGCCCATAACATCTAATAATCCAATGGTTTTGTTGTTGTTGTTGCCATTTTTAGCTTAAGTTATGCAAAGGCATATCTTATGCCGCAGTTGCTGCCCATGCAGATAAGAACGGTCGACGTAAATTAGCTGCTCTGCTTGTCGAACATGAACCTCGCTCATCGGAACAGGTTTGCTTTTATTATCTTCTTTGTTACTTTCATCGCTATTTAGAATTAGGGTTATCTCCCCCCCCCCATTGCCATGATCTGAATCTTAATTGGAATCATATTGTTTTATTCATTTTTTTTATAGGATGGTGAAAGCACCTCTTTTTTTTTGGGGGGGGGGGTATATAAAGAAAATTAATGATTTAACCATTTATTTTCAGGTTCCACTATTGTTAAGCATAGGAGAGGAAGATACTGCTCTCACAAAAGCAACTGAAAGTGGGGACACAGATCTAGTTTACCTAGTCCTCCTTCACATTTGGCACAAGGTATTTACCAAGTCTTAAAGGAGCAGTTAGTATGTCTGTTTTGTCTCCGGTTACTTGCAGCTTTTTTTTTAAAACTGATCAGTATCCATTGCTTATGGCCTGTTACCTTAGAGATCAGCTTTGGAGTTCTTTGGAACTATACAATCCAGAACACTACCTCGTGATCTATTTATCAGTTATGCGCGGTGAGAAAATGCAACATTGGACTCACTCTGTGTTCAGAATCTTTTTCTCGAGATCTCTATTAACGTTTCCCCTACCTCGTATCATGGGGATTTTATTTAGGCTTTACAAGCATGAATTTTTGAAGGACTTCTTCCTATCTACTGGACAACTACAGGTTAGTCGATATCCCGTGGACTATTTTTGAAGGTTCCACTAAAGTTGGCAGTGTTTGGTAAAAAAGTTCTTTTTGTGTAATAGATTAAAGCACCCCATCTGCTTTCAACTTTTAGCTTTTAAGTGTTTAAGTTTAAATTAAGCCGAAGCTGTCACTTGAAAATACTTATTTCAACTGTTTTAAGCCAATAGCTGAAAAACACTTATTTTAAGTTGTTGCGAACACTCTCTAAGGAGGACTGAGATTTGTTACAAATCTCACTAGAGATGATCATTTTTTATCATTGCATCCTACTATTTATATTGACAAGGTTTCAACTCTCAGGATGTAGCATTTCTTCTATGGAAAGAATCATGGGAATTTGCAAAGAATCCAATGGCAAGCAAAGGATCTCCACTACATGGTCCTCGAATAAAAATAATTGAGAAGGCGCATAGCCTTTTTGCAGAAACAAAAGAACATGTCTTTGAGTCCAAGGCAGCCGAGGAGCATGCAAAATTATTAAGGTGTTTCATTAGTGTATATCAAGTACTACCCCCATTCCCCTAAGTTTGGGACAAGAGGGAGTGGTGCAGTTTTTAAGAAAAGTAGAGTTATGCGGTTGATGTTAATTTGGTAAAGTGTGAATAAAGTAAGAATGAATTAGAACCACACAAATATTACTAAATATGGGACAAAAAAAAAAAAGAAAAATGGGACAATCACAGGGGATGTAGGGAGTAGTAAATATTATTGCCTATTTGATGGTCTTTACTTCATCCACTAGAACCAAGGATAAGCAACTTAGTTGATAGTTCTCATATTAATATTTTAAAAAACTCACAACGCCATATTTGTAGAGTCATAGTCATATAGGCATGGAGATCAACTAAAAGGTGTTGTCATTGCAATCCAATCAGACTTGTTGACAACATAATCCAGCACATAGTATTATTATATAGAATGACGTGGAATAGAGTCCCAACAAATCATATATCAAATTATCTTGGCAGGATACAACATGAGTTGGAGGTCACAACTAAACAGGCCATCTTTGTGGATTCAAGTATTAGTGATACAATCCGCACATGTATTGTGCTTGGGAATCATCGTGCTGCGATGAAGGTCAAAACAGAATTCAAGGTCTGTATCTTTCTTATGTAGTGTACCTACTCAAGGTCATTGTCTATTTGTATAATTGTATGGGCAGTCGGGTCCAAGAAGTTTGCATATTGCCTTTTCGGATCTGGATTCATAAAAAAAGCTTGTTTGGTTAGTCTTGAAATGAGTGGAGTGACTTTATCTGCTAAAAGTGCTGAAGTTGTGGCTGAATTGGGTAAATCTGCTAATTATTTTCAAAATGCTTGAAAAACTTGTATTGAAATTAATTAAAGAAAATAATATCTTAAAACAAAGCTCAAAGTGCTAATTTCATCAATTTCAGCAAAGAAAATAACTTTTTGTACTTTTTTCATTATGAGCACGATTGAGGTAGTGCAGTGATAATAGTTAGTCATCATTGAAAAACTGGATGATAAGCAAAAAGGAAAGCCTACCAAATTGTCCTGAAACATTCATATATCTGATGTTGTGACTATGGAACTGATAATCTTATCCAGGTATCAGAAAAGAGGTGGTATTGGCTAAAAGTTTTTGCTTTGGCAACTGTGAGAGACTGGGATGCTTTGGAAAAATTCTCAAAAGAGAAAAGGCCACCGATTGGTAAGTTTTCAAGGTTATGGTATGTCCAGGTTAAGCAGGAGACATTATTATCAACTTAATGGTGGAAGTTTCTGGAGTTTCATGTTTTACTTATTGCTGCCATTTCATCTTATTTCTATCATAACTATCTCTCTCTACACACTTTGAGCTAAAAGTTGAACTTTGATCTCTAAGCTTGTAGAATTGTTGAGCAGAGGATGTGTTTTAAAAGACCCTCTTCCCGTCTTATTTATTTCTATGTATAGGCTACAAACCATTCGTCGAGGCATGCATTGGAGCGGATGAGAAGGGTGAAGCACTCAAATACATACCTAAACTGGCTGATCCCCGGGAAAGAGCTGAGGTAAAAAAAAACTGTCTGAAATAGAGATGCATGCAATTGTTTTTCATATATATCCCTGGAGAGTACAACATAAAGGCAAATTTGGAAAAAAATTAAAAAGGCCTTGACTACACTCTCTTTTTAGTTGTTTCTTCTGATTGACTTGTGAACAGGCTTACGCTCAAATTGGAATGGCGAAAGAGGCCGCAGATGCTGCATCTCAGGCTAAAGATGGTGAACTGCTTGGGCGGCTGAAGATGACTTTTTCACAAAATGCTGCTGCTGCTGCAATTTTCGACACTCTTCGAGATAGATTGTCCTTCCAAGGCATTTCATAATCAATGTGTCTCCTTTCTAGAAGCGTGAGCTTTCAATGTTTGTGTGTTTCCTGGCAAATTACTTCTTTTTGGGGGACAGTAAATTTGATCAGTTTCTTTTGGGATTGATAAGGTTTTGCTAATTCTCAGACTCAACCATTGAAGTGATGAAGCTATTTATGCTTTGCTATGTTGAGTCTGAGGCAAGCCTCATCCCATTATTTTCCGGGTGTGCGTTTCGCTGTTTGTATGTGTATATATGCCAGCACGGAAGATATGCCAGCTAGCAAATGAGTGTATTTTGTGATTCATCCGGCCCTCATAGTTTTATGGAGTTGTAGTAAGCAACAATAAGTAACAACTGATTCTGAAGTGAGTTTTAAGTTTGTTATGTGCCAGCAGCTGCGGTAATAGAGGAATAGAGGATGCAAGCGTTATCCAAAATGATTGAGTGTACTACCTCTTTTACAGTCCTATTTCATGTCTTTCTTTTCTTTTTAGTTTTTCTCAGGGTGTCTAGTTTTCTAGTCTTTGGATACATAATCCAAAGGAGATTCCAGAACTAGAATTTGAATTTGAATCAGAATTTGTCTGTTAGGTGTGGTTGTGTAGAGAATTGATTAAATGGTTAGGTGTGGACACAGGGCAGTATAGTTCCCATTCCAGTCTCCAGATTGGCCAGTTTTGGTCATCCCGAGGATAGGAAATCTATTCAGAACTAACAATATCTGCCCAATTTCAGTTGATTTGATTTGACTCTTTAGTCCCTATCAGCTTACATTGCATTCACTTTAAAGTTCACTTTAATTACACTAGGACTGGGTGCAATTATAGATCAGGTTACATTAGGCCTGGACTCGGGCCGGGTGGCCCGACCCGGAACTGGCCCGGCCCGGCCACTGTAGCAAGCGGCCCGGCCCGGTGGCCCGGTCCACCGGCGGTTTGGGTCGAACCGGCCCGGTGGTTCCCGGTTCCGGGCCCGGGCCTTCCATATGGTGAACCGGCCCGGCCGGTTCGGGCCCAGTCTGGGCCGGAATTTTTTTTTTATTTATTTTTTTTTATTTTTTTTTATGTTTGGGTTAGATTAGGTATTTTGGTCCATTTGAGGTGGTTTGGGGTGGTTTGGGGTTGAGAAAGAGGGGTAAGGGATTAAATAAAGAAGCCAAAAAAAATAGGGCAGGTGGCCCGGCCCGGAACCGGCCCGGTCTGGCCCGGAACCGGCCACCCCCGGTTCGGGCTCGGGCCTCAATATTCTGAACCGAGGCCTGGCCAGGCCCAGGCCCGAGGCCCGAACCGGCCCGGTTCAGTCCACCCCTAGGTTACATTGCATTCACTTTTATAAGACCAAAATAATGAATTAATGACGATATTTTTATCATTAAAGCTCTTGCTAAAAATAAACTACGAGATGACTTTATTTGCAGCACATTTTAGCATGGTTCTTAAATCTTTAATAGTTGCAAACGTCGTTATTTAAGTTATTAAGTACGTAGTACATTCTAAACTGGTGTATAAAAAAGTACATTCTAAACTCCCAACATGATTTTTCAAAATAAAAAAGAAAGTGCACTTAAAATGTTTATTTACTGAGACCATGTTTGAAGAACAAGATTTTAGTTTATTGAGATCATTGGCATGCGCACATCACAAAAAAGCCACTGTAAAACAAAATTACAAGTTACAAGTTACAACACTGTAAGCACAAGCTGGCATTGACCATTTTTAGACTAAATGGGCTAAAGTTAATACAATTTCAGCTTTTATTTTGTTCAACACCCCCATCCTTCCAAATGAGTTCACGCAATTTGAAGGTGAGCATAAGCTGAAGTTTCATATTTTCCATCCCACCTGCGTCAATTTAATTGCAAGATATTATTGTTGTAATTACTCAAGCAAAGGAAGTTTATTATATATGTGTGATGTGCTGTTCATTTGCTAACCTGTCATGAAAGCTACTCCCAGTGTGTGCACGCGCGTGAGTGCGTGTGTGTGTATGCGCGAGTGGCGGTTGCGTGCGTGCATGTGTGCATGTGGAAACACAAACTGAAACTCAAGCAAACCTGCATTCTTGTGTTTCTGGTATGTTAAGCTCCAATTCTTCGTCAAATGCTTGGAAAACTTTCTCAACTTGTCCCTCATCAACCTTGTCAAGCGTCGCAGGATCCCACTAGAGAGAAATGGTGAGCCCATAAAGGTTAAGGTTCTTGAATGTCATTAATTTATTTATTATTACATCCGTCCCACTCATCTTTGCCAACTTTATGTTGAGTGGGAAATTAGAAAATAAAAAATTGTGTTGTTGAGATTTGTGTAAAGGAGAAATAAATGAATAGAGCCACAAATTCATTGCATTAAAAGAAAGTACCAAAGTTTTTTGGGATAAACAGAAAAGGAAAGTTGACAAAGTCCAGTGGGATGGGGGGAGTTGGTTCTAACAATGCAGACAAACTTTAGCTTTCATAATGAGGATGAGGGGGAGAGACCGTACTTTCGGGGAGTTATCTTTGTCAACAGTGATAGCTCTTATGCCCTTCATGTATGTAGCAAAAAGATTACATGCCATTCTAGACCCAGAAATCAAATATAATAATCAAATACACTTCAAAGATTTGGATATTACCTCATAGACATCACCAGATATCACTGCTCTCAGAATATTTATTGTTAGCCTAAATTCTTTTTTCAGGCATTCAGCCAGTGTTTGTTTCCTTCCTTCTCGAATCTGGGAGGAAATATGGCAGATATAAATACGCATAATTAATGATTAAAAGTAGAACTTCAAGAATGTGATCACTGGTCAAATATTGTATATCTCATTTTCAAAACAAAATTTTAGAAATTAAATAAGCAAAGTGTTAAGACTCGGGGGGCTAATCCTAAAAGATAGAAGGAATAGTTCAAGATCTTGATACAATGTTTTATTGTTTTATAGCAATATGGTATGGAATAATACTTCAACACGTCCCTTAGCCCGGATTGGCTTGGACAATATTGACGAGCTATCCTTAATCATGAGTTTTAAACAAATCGTCCAATCACAAGCGGACTTGTCTCTGATATAATGTTAAGACTTTGGGTTCAATCCTAATAGGTGAAACCTCAGAGGTGTAGTTTGAGATCCTAATATAGTGTTTTATTGTTTTATAGCAATCCACTATGAAACAAATACTCCGTATTTTCTAACACAAACCAAAACTTGTTTTATGAACTTCTAACTAGTTTCTAAAAAATAACTTGTTTACTGAAACAAAACATAATACTACCACCGTCCCGGTAGACTTTGACAAGTGCAAGTTAGGTGAGAAATAACCGTCCCGGTAGACTTTGACAAGTGCAAGTTAGGTGAGAAATAAGAATAGTAAAAACTGTGTGGTTGAAATTTGTGCAGAGGAAAGAGAAATATGTAGAACCACAAATTAGTTGCTTTAATAGGAAAGTGACAAAGTTTTTTGGAACAAGTAAAAAAGGAAAGTTGGCAAAGTCCAATGTGACGGAGTGGGACGGAGGGAGTATAACAAAAGTTGGGCTGGAACAATTTCAGTCAAGTCACATTATACAAATTGAACTACCATTTTGAGACGAAAGGAGTAACATACTAATATGTAATAAAACACAAATATCTCAATCTTCTTTACTTTCTTTATTTAAGAAAACTTACCGATTTTAGTGTGATCTTCAATCCTGTAGGAGAAGATCTTTTGAACCCTTTGAGCACAGCATTAATCCAGTTATTCCCTTCTTTGCGTGTTTCAGCTTCCTGATAAATATGTAAGCATCAGTTGTTTGAATAGCTGAACATTATGCAACTAACCACCACATATTCAGGTTCTTAGTAAACAACTCATACAAATGAATGCATAATCTCCTCCACAGAATCCTTCCCAAAGATCTCATCAATAAGAGCCTGCCTGCATGCATGCAGTAACTTTTGAATCTCTTATTTTTATGCAAATAGGGCAAAAAATGAGCATGATTGTATTAATGTCAAGTTGTTAAGGGTTTGTTTTGTAATGTTTCACATTTTTTACATTGTTATGTCTGTACATAAGAATGTAAAAAATAGGCTACCAAACATGTTTGAATTCTTAGAAATTCGAAAAAATAACAGACATAAGAATGTAAAAAATGAGAATTTTATCAATCCGGGAACTGAAAGATAGATGAATTATCAATTCGAGATCTGAAAGATGAAATGTATCGGTATAGGACCCGAATGATGGAAAACTATCAATGTAGGACGCGAATGATTGAAACCTATCAATTTAGAACCTATGTTTTCATTACTTTTATTATTTTTTAAATTTTTAAAAAATTTAAATAATATTTAGTTTTATTAAACTAATAAACTTTTGTAAAGAAAGATTCACCAAATATTAGCAATGAAATTAATAAAAAAATGAAATAATTCAAAACCTATGAAATGTTAGGTCATAGATTGATAGTTTTTCATCATTCGAGTCCTATATCGATACATTTCATCTTTAAGGTTCCGAATTGAAAATTCATCTATTTTTCAGATCCCGAATTAATAAAATTTCCAATTTGGAATAGTGTAAAAGTGGAAATATTTTATCAAAAATAAGAGGAAAGAAAATCCATGTTTCCAATATTTTCAAATTTTCAGTTTTGGGTACTGAAAACAAAACTATTTATGTCAGTAAACACCTTTTCTCTTTCCTATTTTCACAAGAGTGAAACAGAAAATATTAAGTACAAAAATATTACATAATGAAACCTTACTTGTTCAAGACACTTCCTTCATCAAGCTGAACGCTTGTGGAGAACTCCTCTATGGCAGATCTGATGGCATTTTCATTGCCTGAGTTCAAATTTAGTAAACGCTTCTCTAGCTCAGGCAATTTCTGTCAGAGCAATGATTAAGCAAATGTTATGACTTATGAGTTATAAATCACTTTATATTAAAAGAGAAAGGATAATAAAACAATCATATTTTTTTCAAAACAGAGTGTTTTAAATAAAAATGAAAACAAAAAACATAAATCAAATAACTCACATCAGAAGGGACGAAGTGTGTTGCCAATCCAAGTGCAACCAGCTCTTTACCATTAAGCCTTGCCCCAGTTAATGCCAGATACTCGCCTGCACATTACAAACACCCTCTCGAAGCCCACTCATGATTAATTAAGGAGGGGAAGCTAGCATAACCCATGCTAATGCTTACCCAATCGGCCTGGAAGGCGAGAGTGGATATATGAGAAGCCACAGTCAGTATGAAACCCAATACTTGCTTCTGGAGTAGCAAAAACCTAGACAACAAAGTTTAGACACTGTAAGTAGAAACATATAGTACTTCATATAGTATATTAAGACATGGGTTGTATCCGACTTGTTGGAGCAGATCAAAACTTGGGATTGGATAAGATATTAATACTTAAGCTTCATCCTTAAAGGCCGACATGATAAAGGAGTAACCTAAAGCCTTATATGTGAATTATTATCTTGGTATTTTGCCGGTACAGAATGTCTTAACAGTTAAATAGTATAGTAATATTTCACGTGTTTCTTGTCTTCATGAAGAAATACTATATAGAAGTCTTCAATATGTTAGTCCAAAGGTCTTAAGTAGTCTTATGTTAGTCCAAAGGTCTGAGGTAGTCTATTGAGTAAGTGAAAGGTTTATTGCCTACATATGTATAGGTGTTATGCATCATGAAGGATGCAAGTTCAAGTTATGAAATATATCAATACGAATCTTGCTATTCAACAGGATAGTGTGTATGCCTCAGATATCAATGTTATGTTGCACAGAAAATTTTGCTATAAAGGCATACTTACAGTCTTTTCAGTTACAACAGAAAATTTCATTGGGACCATCAGGGATGCACCTCCACCCATCGAAATGCCATTAACTAGAGCAACCTGCGGGATTAGTTGTCATCAATAAACAATAAATTCTACACTAAGAGCTTGTATGACACCTACAGTTTAACCCGTGGTTAGAAAATTCAGCGATAAAAAACCAAAATTTACCATGTTTGGGAGCATCCTAGTTTTTCAAGAATGGCTTTTCCTAAATAAAACCCCACAAATTAACCATGTTTAGGAACACTCCACAATCTTTTACCTGTTTTTGAGAAGTTGGAGATTTGTACTTTTCATTATTTTGAACACCTCGTTTTTTCTTTCAGGTATTTCCGTACCATTTTATCTACAATCTATTACCCTTAAAAGCTAAGTTTTTGTTGCTTCTCAAAAAATTAATTATTCTTTAACCATTTTAAAGCAAAGTTAACCAAACAAAAACTGATTCTGATAACAACAATACTATGATCGATTATTGAAATTACTTGTTCAGCTATCCCAAACACATTCTAACAGATCCTAGACGGGAACATGAAACAGTAAACCTTGTCAGTTGGTGGAAATATTCATTGCACAACAACAACAACAACATCCAAGCCTTAATCCCAAAAGAATTTGGGGTTGACTAATGTGAATCGATCTATGATATCGATGCCAAAATATTCATTGCATAATTGCAATAAAATAAAATAAAAAAGAAACCTGGGGCTTTTTATAAGTGTGGATATGGTAACAAAGCCAATACATTCTGTAGACCACCTCAAGGCAGGAGTCCTCTGCACACACACCAACCAACTTCTTTCAAGGGAAATAACTGAACAAATCAATACGCAAAATAAAGAAACATAAAAAAAACGAAACCATCAAATTGAATGCAGAGGAAAGAAGTTACTTGACGTCCGGCCATCATAAAACATTTTCAAGTCCCCGCCAGCAGAATAAGCACGGCCAGCTCCCTGTGTAAAAAGAATAAATGTCATGCCTAGCTCCCTATGAGTCATTCTCTCTTTTGGAGGCTTATATAATGTGATAACCTTTAATATGATGAGAGCTACATTGTCATCATTCTCCCATTTTTCCAAGTTTTCAGCCAGCAACTTCACCTGATTAAAGAAAATGAAAACAAAATAATTACAGAGAACTTAAATAAAACACCTCAATCATAAAAGAAAAATGAAACAAGGTGTTACAATTCCCATACCACTTTAGAAGAAATTACATTCAACTGCTTGGGACGGTTTAAGGTTATCAATCTAGCACTGCCAGCTTCTTCAGCAAGAACAACCTTAAAAGGCCAAAAAAACCTATAGATTAATAATTAATTCAGGATTTCAGACCTCAAGTACTAAAACTGTATATTTATAGGAATGGAATGTTTATATAGCAATTACCTCTGCATCTAGGTGAGATGTTTCTTGTGCCATCTGCCTAACAAATCAGTAGAGCCTCAAATGGAGAGAAGAAGTAATACAAAAAACAGAGCTGAAAAAAAATTGCGTTAGAAAACAGAGCTAAGAGTATGAGGAGAAACAGCTAGCTCACCTACCACCTGCAAGATTCAACGTTTTAATTTGATTTGTGTTCTGGGACACAAAGGGAGACAGAAATACGGTATTAGAGGGAGCTTTTCCTCCTCACCTACTACACTTCTTCACAATAAAGTGTCAATATACCTAAATCTTTGTATTATTTTCTTCTCACCATCAATAAGACAAGACTGACGTTGTAATTATTAAGAAAAATGGGCTTATGTGATTGATATTAAATTGATAAAGTAAGAATAAAGTAAAAAATGATTTGGAACCACACAGACTTTATTAAATTTAGTATATGATAAACTTAGCGGGACGAATCGAAAAAGAAAATGAGGCAACTTTAGCAGAATGGAGTGTGTTGTATTTATTGTATGGTTAGTTTTAGAAAATTCTTAAATTTAGTCGTGGTGTATATGTTTGGATTTAATGTATCAAAACTCCTTGGTGATATAGAAATTCAATGAATTATCACATGTGATTTAAAAAATGTATCGAGCTCTCATGTGTTATAATTATTCAGGCGCAAAATCTCTTATATGAACAAATAATTGTAAAATAAAAGAAAGATAGTTGTCATTTTTGTATAAGTTAAAGATTATGACAAATTTACTTACATATTCAATCATAATATTATAAAAAGTGATTTCTAAATTGTTAAATTTGTTCGTAAAAGGGGTTGTGCGCATGAATAATTATAAGAAGGTTTGGCGTTTTTTTAAATCATTAAGAACAAATGTGTTGAATTTCTATATTACGAGAGGGTTAGTTCATTAAACCTGATTATCTTTATACTCCCTCTCCATATTCTTTTGTTTGCTACACTTTTCCTTTTGGATGTATTTTAATTTTGCTACATGTTCCCTTATTGATAAGTTTTCCCTATACAAATGCTCAACTATTCTTATTTTTTCTATTTTTTATTTTCTTTTTCATATTATTTTACTTTCTCTCATACTTTTTATATAATGTTCATCATCTTTACTATTTTTACCTTAAACATTGTGGTGAAATTTTAAATAGAAAATTATTTATCCTTCATATAGAATTCATCAACTTGTATTATAACAAAATTAAAGTGGTACCAAATGAGAAAGTTATCTATGGGATATAAGTTATGTTTTGATCACACCTTGATAGAAAGAGACTGTTTGGAGTTTAACTCAGGCATCTCCCTTGTGGAGCCCTCATCCTATCAGGTGAGTTATGTCCCGGTGTACGTAGAACAATTTGAGATAGGTGGAGCGGTGGAGATGATGTTCACATAGTTTGGAGACAGTCAGAAAAATCAACAATTCTTATGGTGCACAAAACTTATACACACTTATTACACATTTGTATGTGTTTAATTGTGTATACAGAAAATTGATGCATGAGATATATGTACACGGTAATTATGGGTTGTACATATTGTCTGAATAGACAATTACAAATAAATATGTGCCGAACTCTAATTTTTCCAAAAAAAAAAAAATAGTTCCACCATGTTTGTCCATTCCATAGCTTAGGATCAGGACCCCACAGCTTCAACTTTGGACCCTAGGGAACTAGTTCGAAGTTCTTTCAGAAATTTCATCGAACATCTATCGATCAACGTCTCCGGTCTACCCTCCCCTGGTATTACGTGTCATACAAACACAGCCTCTTGTTGCCACGTGTCACTGTGTCAATATACCTATATTTCCGTCCAGTAATGACGGACCCGCCATTTCCATTGCTTTCCACAGCTGACTAGCCACCGCCGCTGTTGCCGCCGCTCTGTGAAACGTTTTTCCAATTATGCATCTTTTCCGGTCGTCACTTCGGCTCCTGAAATGCAGTCACTTCAGACAATTCTCCTCTCAGCGCTCCCAGCTGGAAAGCGCCGGCACCATGGCATCGCTCTTAAAGACCCGATCCGTGATTCGATTCAGAGGACCCGACACCGTGAAGTTCCTTCAGGGCCTCATCACCAACGATGTACAGAAACTTGTGGAGCCTCCAGACGAAGACAAGACCAATTTGGTCACTACTAACTTGCCTTTCACAACTACGCCTCCGCTCTACGCCGCACTTTTGACTCCTCAAGGAAAGTTCCTCTACGATATGTTTCTGTACAGACCACCGCGGTCTGATGAAAAGCTGGACACCACAGGTTCAAGTTCTGGCCCAAACCCGGGCGAGTTGGAGCTCTATGCAGATGTTGATAGGTCTATGTTGGATGATCTTTTGGAAGATCTGAAAAAGTAAGCCCTATTTGGACTTTGAAGCAGTAGTTATCTGCAGACTCACAGACTAAGAATTCTCTCAAACTAATGGCAGAAAAAGAATATAGCTGTGAAATTATGGAGTTGTTGGGCTAAAAGGATTGAACTTTCAGAAAAGAAATGTGATGGGACATCTAGTTCCCTTAGAAGCATGTTTGGGACAGCATATAATCTTGATTATAAGTTTATAACTGCTCTATAGTTATATGATTTATTTTCAAAAAAGACATCTGTCGGAGACCATAAACTGAAATCTCATCTATAAGTTCCTTTTTAAAGATATGTGTTTTCTTGAATCTGAAAACTCGTACTTTCCAACAACTTAATTTTTCTTTCTTCCATTTTCATTCTCTTTTTAACTTGTATAAGCATTTTTTTGCTGCACCTATATGAAATGAATTATTTTGATACATATTTTAGCTAGCTTACCCAAAGAATACTTGATTCTGATTCTGAGCGAGTATACATTGGTTATTGAAACAGTCTAACTTTTCAGCTATCCCAAACAAGCTCTAAATATATATTATGCTAAGCCGGTTATGGCTACTAAAGGAAACCTATGTTTATCTTTGTTGTTAATACTCTTTTCCTTGAACTATAAAGTTACTTGTTTTTTAAGGCTAACTTCTTAACAATGTGAGGTATTCTTTTGTTGTAGTTCACAAATGGTTGTTTTTTTATAATTCTGGTGAACGCCGTTATTGCAGATACAAATTACGATCCAAGGTTGATATCGAGAACTTGTCAGATGATTTTTCTTGTTGGCAAAGGTTTGGTCAAAACTTGACGAATATATCATCCAAAGAGCCAGAAGCTGATACTGTTGGATGGGCTGCTGGAACTGACCGTTCCAGTGAATCATCTGCGAGAGGAAATAGCTATGGGTGGTCATGGCATAGAGATCCTAGGTTGTATTGCCTTGGATTCAGGGGTATCTTTCCTTCCAACATAGTACGTAAGTGTTGTTATTTTTTTCATATTTATATTCAACCTATACAAGTATTAGAGTCCAATGTATTCTCTTTGTTTGTTTCAGCACCTCTAGTTGAGGCAGATAAAGAAACCAGCGAAGAAAACTATCTTCTATGGAGGTTGGAGAAGGGGGTTGCTGAAGGACCATTGGAGATTCGAAAAGGTTGTTTTCTTAACCTCCTGTTTGTTATTTTCTTTTTGCGGGGTATTTATATCTTTTAAAATTTACATATGTGTCACTAACTTCAGCTATGCTATAATTTCTTGTGTTGTTTCATATCTCAATGATATCTTGTCGTGCTTAGTATCTTTGCTATAGTGTGGTGTTAAGAATGAGAACGAACTGGTTGGACTTGGAACCGGTTAGCGAACTGGCCCGGTCTATAAAGGCAGTAAGGAACTGGTTTAAACCATGTGAACCAGTTCATCGGTAGTTTCATAGCTTAACTGTTTTTGCTTAGCTTCAAATGATTGATTATCATAGGCTAGTCTCAATTTATACAAAACCGGCTCAACTGGTTTGACTACCACCATGATCATATCAGCTCATCAGCAGTCTGGCTTTTATTACCTTGTTCAGCTACAGTATTTGACAGCATTTGTAAGAACGAATACTCCACACTTTGGTTTTGTTGATTAGCTTTTATAGCCTATGAGACAATATTGCAAGATCTTAAGTCTTGTGTAGGAGTTACAATAATCTTGGTTAAGATATATTATTTTTCAGGTGAATCAATCCCACTTGAGTATAACCTGGCTGCTTTAAACGCAATCAGCTTCAACAAAGGGTGTTATGTGGGTCAAGAACTCATTGCTCGTACGCATCACCGTGGGGTCATCAGGAAGCGCTTGCTTCCTCTCATATTTGTTGATGATGGTGGCAGTGGTAAGTACCCTGCTTTTTCCCTTACAATTGTGCCCCCCACCCACCACTACCCCAGCTATATCTGAGGGAAGCTACATTTTGCTTTACAGGATAGGCTTAAATACATTTTCGTTCGTGCAAATGTAACCTTGTTTGTATTGTTATCCACTTATCCCTGTAGGTTTATGTTCTTTTTTATCCACCCTTATAATATGGAATGTTTTATTTATAGTCCCTCTCCACCAAAACTCATATGAGGCATTTCCCCATCAACTTTCTTTAACTCATCCCCTACTACAAGGGGTGTTTTGGCCTACAAAAACAACCATTTCCACTTCAATTCCATGCCTGATTAATCAGGAATAAAATATAAAGCATTTTTTGAAATAAATCAAAGTTGGAATTTTGTGAGGCTTAGGCTTAATTAAAGGGAGGTTAACAGGACCTAAAATAAAATTGTATAGATTGCATTGATACCAAACTAAACATACTTAAATTGGGTGTACGCAGTTCGTTCCCCTTCCCCAAACTAAACTCTCAACCAAGTTAAATGGACGAATATAATTTTTTTTATGGAGACTTAAAAGTTGGAATAAAAAAACTGGTGACACACATATATTCATACTTGTGTTAAGTGCTCAACATTGTGTTTCTTATTCAGAGGTGGAGATGAGAGTTACTCCGGGGTCTTCCGTAATCGATGCCCAATCTAGAAAGAAAACCGGGACTGTCACAACTGCCCTTGGGAGCCGTGGTCTTGGTCTTCTGCGCTTAGAGGATGCCTTTAAGGGTAATTTGGCCATACAAAACCAGGAAGATGTTAAGGTCCAGACTTTTAGACCAAAATGGTGGCCTTCTGAATGGGTAGATAGCCATCAGCAGTTTGCTGCAGCTACCTAGTTAAGAATGTTGCCTTTTTAGAAGTCCTCTTTTTAGTTCTCAAAAAATAAGAAATAATCTCTTGAAGGGAAATTTATGAAATTTTATCACTGCTTTTAGACACTTTTTCTTTTCTTGTAGTGCTGAAACTGATTTATCACTCGGGCTATGTTGTTAGCTTTATAGATGTATCCATGCAACCCTCTCTGTAGGTAAAGGTCTTGTAATATGGTTCCAGTATTTTTATATTTTTAAATATTTATTCAAAAGGAAAAGTTTTTCTGCAGATCTACGTCACGGTAATGATTATATCCAACAAACTGCACATCAAAAGCTAATCGAGAGATTAGTACTTACATGTTGATCATATTTTCTAAAAAGAGAGGATTTGAAATATAAAGAATAAGGATTAGATTGGTTGAACTGCCTGCCAGAAGGCTCACAAAGCTGCCTAAACTTCCATCACTATTAAGCTCGAGCGACACTTCTTGCCCATCAAAATCTTTAGCCTGGAACATCCCCAAGGGAAATGTAATTAATTTGACACCAAATAAATAGCAGAAATATAGATTCCATCACTTTAAAATACACAGAGTAGTTTTTTAAATTACAGTTGCTCTTTCCAAAGTACAGATATTCTCTGCCTCATATGGTAGTGAGGACTGAGGAGGGAACACACAAAAAAACTCCATATAAAACGCCAAGTTCATTCAGAATCAGCATATTCAACTTGCAAAGTATGTTTAATCATTCATACATCGGACAAGTATTCTTTACTTTTAGACAAAAATGAAAACATCAAAAGGTCGGATAGTGACATTTTTTAGAGAGCACACAACATATTACATGAGGGGTAAATAATGCCAGAAAATGAATGACCACATACATGATTTAGGGGCCATTGCATGAACCACAGTTCAGTTGAATCTGTTAATAATTTTTTTGATTTCAAAGCTCAACGTGGTGCACAATCTATATTAACTGGACCATAAAAGTTTAAATCACAATGGAAACCTCACAATAACTCAAAGGAAGTGTTGAGTGACCATAATATTTAAACAAGGTCTAATATCTAGTATCCAGGGAAAAAAATGACAGAGGGTGATGAGCAAACCACTTGAGACACGTTAAGAGATGAGGATTTGAAACTTAGGCTTTGTTTGCAAGTGCTTGTGTTTAAATAAAAGCACATTTTGGAAAAAGTGATTAGTAGTAAAAGTTGATAGTGTTTAGTAAAATAAGTGTTTTTTGTGTAATAGAAAAAATAAAAAGTAGATTCTACACGAAAACCGAGAAAGTAAAAGTTGGTAGTGTTTGATAAAATAAGTGTTTTTTTCCTTAAACAAAAGCCACAAACACTTTATTTAAGTGCTCGCAAACAAGCCCTTACAATGGTATATCCAGAACTTTTATATGAGGGAGGGAGATTATATAGAACTGTACTATAACATCGAAAAAAAATATTTAAATGAAAAATCAATACCATTAATTCTATAAGATGTTTGAATATAAGAAATTAAAATTAAATTAAAATATATAATGCATAACTGCACAAAAAAGATCATTAAACTCAGGTCAATATACATTGAATAAAATACTAAAGTAAAATACTATACACAACAAAAAATTCAACTAGAAATATGATACCTATAATAGTAGATTAAAAAAGGGAAAAGGTTCAGATAGGCCCTCGAACTTACACAAAAAGGTCAAATAAGCCCTTATATAGGAGGCTCTGTCCGGCCGTCGCCATTTGGGGCGGTTCCCGATGGAATTTTTTGATGATTTTTTTTAGCATCGTATTCATTAAGTCTAGTTTACTCATACCAAATGTCAACTAAAACTTCAATCGGGAAGGCATTCAAATGAATTCTTGAAGATAACTTCGTGGTCTCTGCTTCATATATGTTAATTCGCTCTTCCTTTTCTTATTTTTTCTTTTATAAAATAATCTTAAATGATATCAATAATAAGCTCATGTGAATTCTAATACGCGAATCTAATTTAATATTATACTTCTGAAATATGCATTGATATGAAAATCGTAAGTTCTGCTAGTTTAGCATCAAGACATATTCATAGAGCATCAGACTTCCTTTATTGAGTATTGGAAGTTGGAACTATGCAATTGAGTATAAAAATTTCTAAACCTATTGAGCATTAAAACATCTACATTTAGTATCACGTCCTTTAATAATGAACATTAATATTATACTTTTGAAATATTAGTATCGCGTCCGTCAATTTTGAACATTAACATTTACTTTTGAATTCTAATATGAAAATCGTAACCTCTGCTAATTCAGTATCTATACGTTTTCATTGAGCATTAAACCTCTTATATTGAACATTAGAAGCATGTAATTGAGTATCATAGTTTTTGTTCTCATGTCTTCTAATTCGCTTTCTTATTCTTAGTTTTTATTTATTTTTCTTTTGTAATTTTTTATAATAAATATCGATAATCAACATCTATGAATTCTAATATGCGTATCTAGTATAATGGTATAATTTTAAAATATGCATTGATATGACATATTAATATTCGCAAGACAATAACACCAAATAAATATACATAACTTAAAAACGAGAATAGAAAATTTTCAAAAGTTCATTTAAATTCTCTTATTATGTGCTCAAATATTTATTTGCGTTATTCCACCATAGTTATCCTCAAGCAAGTGCATGTTCAGCCCCCAAACTCGTAACTAGATAATTGATACGTGAACCATTGCATGTACTCTTCATGTTCTTCCTCACGCCAAACAACTGGCTGGTTGGTGTCCACCACCACTCCTCCTCAGCTCTTTTGTAGACGAAGAAGGCTGATTGAGGATGTCGTGACTATGTTCTACGGTGATCAAAGCAGTGGAATTTAGCGGAAACCGTAATATCACTCGCAACCTTCGAGCCCGTTTGGTAGCACGAAAATCGGCTGTTTTGGCTGATTCTGCTGAAATTTATGAAATTCTGGCTGAAGTGGCTGTTTTGGCTGATTCTGCTGATTCAAGAAAAAAATATTTTAAAAATATATTTTATTAATAAATAATAGAAAAAATTACATGTAAAAATAGCTAAAATAGTCCTCTACAGTAACTTCAGCCAATACAGCCAGAAAAGTAACTCCAACCTTACTTTTTCTGCTTATTACACAATTCAGCACACAAAAGTAAAAGTTACGTGTTTGGTGAAAAAGCTGGCTGATAAGTCTGATAAGCCGAAAAAAGAGCTCTCCAAACGGGCTCTTCGTTGCTTTGCGAGATTTGGTGTCCAACGTGCCGAATATGAAAATCTCTATGGATCTGTTTCTAGTGATATTATATGTGTATAAATGTATAACCATGCTCCGATTTTGAATTTAATTACAAAAACACTTGATTGTACCAATCACGCGGCACAACCTATTGTATGGTACAATTTGCCATACTTTTCATTTCTTTATAAAAGATTTAAAAAAGATCAAGAGTTAAATTCATTTTGTGCTCATTAGGTGGTTTAAAAGATTATTAAGAGCCCGTTTGGTAATACTCAGAGCCCCTTTGGCTGATTCTGCTAATTTAAGAAAAAATTATTTTTGAAATATATTTTATTAATAAAATAAAGAAAAAATTGTATGTAAAAATAGCTAAAATGGTCATCTACAGTAACTTCAGCCAATACAGCCAGAAAAGTAACTCCAACCTTACTTTTTTCTGCTTATTACACAATTCAGCGAGCGAAAGCAAAAGTTACGTGTTTAGTGTAAAAGTTGGCCGATAAGCCGAAAAACAGTGTTGCCAAACGGCCTCTCAAATTGGCTGAATCGGCTGATCCTGCTGAATTTTATGAACTTCTGGCTTAAGTAGCTGTATTGGCTGATTCTGCCGATTTATAAAAATTTAAATTTAAAATATATTTCATTAATAAAAAAAATATTTAAGAAGATAGCTCTATAGCCTTTAGCACAAGATTTAAGAAGAAATTAATTGGGTTAAAATAAAAAGTGTAGTGAGTTGTGTGTAAAGGAAAAAGGTAGGAAAGAGAATGAGAGTATATAAGTATATGCGTATATTTATTGAAAATACTTTCTGAAAATGGAAATGGAGACACGTATTGGAGAACATTCCAAAATAGAAAGAGAGACATGTACTCCCTTCGTCCCAATTTGTATGATACTTTACGGTTTAGATGTTTGACCCACGATAAAGCAAATTGATCCCTACCAACACTCAAATTAGTTTTAGAAAATAAAATTTACATATTTAGAAACTATATTAAAACCGATATGCCTGCAAAAAATAATTCAAGTTTCACAAACTTTTGATGTATAGAGTTAAAGATTAAGAGTGATTTATTGTAACACCCCGCCCCGTAGAGCCCGAGGTAGTTACTCATACACACCCTCCAGACCTCTAGTACTGTCCTCACAAACCGCTGCTAGCCTTTTACGCGCACTTTGTCCTCACTCGTGCGCGCCCTGAGAAACTTCCCAGGGGGTCACCCACCCCAAGACTACTCCCGTGCAAGCACGCTTAACTTTGGAGTTCTTGGTGATGAGCTCCCTTAAAAGGAGATGCATCTTGTTGGTATGAGTAGTACTATTAATCCATTTATATTAAATCTCAAGTGTTACATTTATGTTGACCAAGTGAATAGTAAATGTATCTTACATATTGGGACTGAGAAAGTATTAGAGAACGGAGGAAAGTATGTAATAATAGTAACTTCAACCGAAACAGACACAAAAGTAACTTAATCTTAGATTTTGTTATTATGACAGCTTACCAATCACACTTGCTTGTTTGAAAGAGCAGAGAAGCTTCGGAACCAATACATGTTCCGATCCGATCCGTCAACGATAACTAACTCCTTCCGCGTACACAACCGCTACTCACTCTCGATCTCCCCCTTCCCAACGCAAAACCCGCATAGACAGCAATATTGGAAAAGCAACGCAGTAGCAAAGGAAAAATAAAAATGGAATTACCGATCAAAAACCTGTCTGCTTTCAATTTGTCGTCGAATTCATTTTCAAACTAATCCTGATATGCATTTCACGGTCCCTGTTTCTAGCACAACTACTTGACTCTCTCGCAGGTGGGCATTCTTGATCATTTCGGGCTTCTTTTTTATTTTAGCTGGAATTTCTAATTGTAATTACATCTTTTGATTTTCTACGGATGATTCGCATTACTTTTTTTAATGTAGAATTTCGTTTGCCATTATTTATGCGTATTCCCATGGTTGGAGATGGCCAAGTTTCCGTTTTCTCATCCGAGCAAAGGTATTATTAGCATATGGATGATCACAACAAAGATTCGACCTTCAACAGGCCGACCCAA